GGAATGAATTGTTTATCATGACAGTGCTCATCACGTGCAAAAAAAGTAATGGAAGGCCGAGGAACACAATTCCAGATCTCAATATAATTGAACCACCTTTGCGCAAAATGAAGAAACACGTAAACCGCGCAATATAATAATCACAAGTAGTTTAGGGTTATTTCTAAGAATTGATGTCATTATTAAGACCAAAGCATCAGTACAGAGAATTAAAGCCACTGTTAGAGACAAAGATAATTACAAATTCCATATATGACTTTAAAAAAGTGAAAATCAATTTTGTATTTACAAAATAAAAAAAAAAGATAACTTAGAATTTGTAAGGTGAAATTTGAACAAGTGGCTCTGGCTTTTTGCATGATTTTTTTTTTCAACATGGTATCCAACAGAGCATTAAAGAAATTGCAGTAAGCTTTTCTCTTAGCTGTCAAACATAAAATGCATTAAAAACAACATTACTAATCACACTATCTTTTAGTGAATAAAAAACAAAAGTAATGTATTTACCATTTTGGTAGGAGAGACAGCGGAAGAAACACAAAGAATGACAGACAGACAATGAGTTAAATCGTCGAGCCGATTTGAAATTCTGAGCGCCACCTACGTTTTTTGTAAATATTCGTACGATTGTGAAAACTATATATTCCCTCTCCCATCAGATATGGTTTAATTATCAGGACCTGCGGTTCTCCAACATTGGATAAGCACCAGTTTCGAAAGACTATTCTGCAATCAAAACCAAAGAGAAAACTGACGGTAAACATTATTTCCCAAGAGAAATAATTCTAGAATTGAAGGCAATATACAGTCAAAATGTGTGTGGAGAGCCTTGATCATACTGAAGGGATATAACATAAAAAGCTTCAATTAGTCAGTGGCCCTTTGTGTAAATTTATATTTCTCGACGGAAGTAGCACTAATAACCAAATGTGTCGGGAGGGTGATTAAAAATTGATTATAACTTTCAGTACCTCAAAATGCAGACTAATAATTTTTTTTATCATCATTGAGCAGGCCCATTATTGTCAATAGATGATTCATTGCGATCTCAGAAGTCGAAAGTTAATTGGAACTCAATTTCACGCCAAAACTCAATACTGAATCATATACAAGATCATTCAGTAATGATGCTGACAAAAATATTATGACCATTATACTTCTCCGGGTGTAACTGAATCTCCCTGTCACGCCCTAACTTTACAACACATGTGACAAAAAATAGAGTAGACATGATATACAGTCCCGCTAAAATTAGTGGAACGGCAAGACTATTTTTGCAGTTGGCTGAAATCAATTGCATGCAAGACCGAAAAAAATCAGACAAGAGTTCAGAATTACTTGTCTGATTGTCACTTATATCAGTTAGGTTATAAGCCGATCGAAATCTGTAACACAAGATTTTCTATAGAGGTGATCAGCAAATTTCTTTTTGATTAAATAGTTTTAGTTTCATATAGTTTGCTGACAATAGAAAGCTGATGAGTCCATAATGAGGGGGAGACGAGCGATCTCTTGCGTTCTTGAAAATGAAGGCATACATTTAACATCTTCCACAGACTTGGTAAACATTTCTCCTACATTCAGTGGTTAAATAGATTCCCTAAGAACAGTGGAATCAAAAACATTCTTAACCATTACTGTTTTATTTTTAGGCAAGTGTTTCGGAGGCAGTGTGTTTGAAGAAGCCTGAACTTCAACTATGTAAGAGCTGATGCTGTGCAATTTGGCTGTAGTGTATTGAAGAATTGTCCTAGGAAACGGCATATCCATGAATGCTTTGGCATCGAATTTGACTGGTCCGTGAAGGTTATGTGCCCAGGAGAAGAAAAAAAAATTCGGCAAATGGTTCCTAAAGGAAGTATGTGGCGAAAATAACTCTTGGTTATTCCTAAGCCCATAGACGTCCATCGTGAAACAACCCAGGATTTTGTTTATTCATGGGAGCACAATTCAGTTCAATATAGATTGTCGACCAACCCGAGTAACAAAGAAATATTTGACTATTATAAAACTGAATATACTCAAGCAATAGAAAAATGCAACGGCAAAGCGAGGTTAGCGTATGTAAAAACAACAATAAATGCAATTAACCTAAAACGTATCATCATATGGTTAAACCAATTTTACAACAGTGGCGTTCAGACTAATGATCAAATACAGTGTAAACCGTATATAAGAGACCTGGATACAAGAGAAACCCGGATATAAGAGATTTTCTCAGGTCCCAAATTAGAGCCCATACTTAAACAAAATAGACCAAACACGGATATGAGAGAAACCCGGATATAAGAGACTTCTCCGTTACCGACAACTCTTATATCCGGGTTACACTTTTTTGCTAAATTTAATTTGCAAACACTTTAGTTATCTTTCAACATTAAAAAGATTTAACAATATTAAGGTAAGTTATAGCTGTACTAAAATCATCGGTAAATATATATTGCACTATAACAGTATAATTCTATAAAATTGACCTTCTCGCAAAAATGCACACGGAAAGAACGAAGCGGACGTCACAGAAAGGACGAAGTCTCTGGTCGCTGAACTGTGCAACTCACCACTCACTTAAGCAACCACTTAAGCAACATCTTAAGCAACATCTTTTCTTGGCTCGCATTTAGCAGTATGTTACTACCCAAGAACAAATTCTAGTTTACTGCTAGAATATTTCTTTTCTTAAGTTGTGAGTAACGATCTGGCCGTCGGATAATTTTCAAGCCACAAGCGCATGACTGCCAGAAACTGCGCTATCAACGAATCTGGTGTCTGGTCTAAGCTGCAACACATCACTCTCAAGGAATTAAAAATATTCTGGGCCGGATCCCGACGCTCAACGCTGAAATTTTGGATTACTAAGTTTTCATTACTATGATAGTTTTCAGCGAAATCTTACCCGATATTTTGTTTTTTTTAACTTTGAAGTATTGGGAATAATCGAAATTGCAAAAGTGGCCCATTAAATGAAAATTGTATGGAAAGTAAGGACCTAAATTGTCTAAGTGGCGGCAGAAGAATTAACATTGAACTTTTCAAAAGTAACCATAAATATTATGTAGTGCTTAAATTCAGCGATTTTTTTCGGTATTATGTAACCTATCGTATAAAGTAGAAATACGCCTGGCAAGAGAAATCTTCGCCAACACAGGACCAGATTACAATCAAAGGAACTATATCTGCAGCGAAGAAAAGCAGAGTATAAATGAAATTACAGATCAAACGGTAGCCAGGAGAGGTTCCATTGCTGGGAATATCCAAAAATTAGTGACCCTCAAGCCTCTGTAAAAATTGAAAGCACAAGAATCCTCCGCAGGAGATCGCTTCAAAGTTTGAAGCTATTGTTTGATTAATTCTCGTATTGAAACTTTTTTCAACTGACATCAGCCTACATATTTTTCGCCAAAAATATTTACGCCGGATAAGTTTAACACACCTGTATATTACTAGGATTTGATCTTCCACTCCTGGCGTAGCTGGTGTGTGTTAATTCGGCTTCGAAAGAAGTTTGAATTGTATGCACTAAAGCTATTATTATGTAAGAAAGTTCTTAATCTATTCTCTATTAAGTGCTTTTCAAATGGAAGCTTGCTCATTGTTAGATTGATACGCATTTGTAATTTGATTTATTTTTCAAGTTAAATACATTTTCTCAGCGACGTTTAGGGAAAAAAGCTAAATTACATTGGAAGGCATGACTTGAGTTGATACATACTAAATCTTTAAATAATTTAAAATAATATAAAATTGTTAAATATATTACTAGAATATAAGAACGCAGAAAACTACAACAGGGAAAAAACAATATCAGCCATACTTTTTGTATCCTTTTAAAAAAAATAAATGAATCTAAGTCACACGAATAAAGTTATTTATTTTCAAAATATTAATTTTTATACAGACAAATTATAAAAGCTTTTCGCAAATGGAGTTCTGTAATATCCATTTTCAAAACAGATATAGGCAAAAAATGTGAACTAACGCTATATATGACTTAAGCTTACAACCTAATTTCAAAACAGGATATCGGAATTTATAATTCACTGTTCGTTATTGTACCTCTAAAAACTCCAGGATTACAGGTTAGATAAGAATCGCATTTACGTCAGAAAAGATATTTTAGTCCTATTTTAGAAATCAGCTTTCAGTATTTTGCTTTTAATGCACGATATACACATTAAGTATTCCACTTTAGAATTTTTAAGATTGTCAAAAAATAAGTACATGTTCATTGCATAAACAATATCTGAATATAGCAATTACTGTATTAATCTTACAAAAGAAACAATACGTACCGTGTGACGAGAAATAATGTGGCACAGAGAAAATATTTGTAAGGGGAGTTGAATAAAATATTAGAAATAGACTGCCTAAATTACAGTTTATTATCTATATTTACCAGATACAAAAGCAAATTATACGATCGTTTTCTTTTAACTTAGGCATTTTTAATATCAGTATTATTCCAATGAAATAATTAAAAAATGTGCGAAATGTTAGTCATGTCTAAAAGAATTGTCATTACAGATGTTTAATGCATGTGTATTTATCTCGTGGGGAAACACTCCACCCGTTTCGTCAGAATACATTTAAAACATCTATGAATGATAGTTATTTTTGTAAATTATAAATTTTGGAAGATAATTACGGAACTTCAGGTTTTACAAATAAAATCATCAGTTTCACTTGCATAAATTAGTCATGATTGGTTCCAAGGTGGAACTTATTTGTTTGCAGCGGGATAATTAAAATGCGTGATTGTATGCCTAATTTGCTTTTAATATGCGAATCCGTTCAATTATTATACGTATTCCTGGCATAGGTTTAAAACAAGTTTAAGATTTATAAGCATGTTATGTATATTAATGCCATTAATTTTAGTTTATATTTTTCCTATTAAAAAGAAAAAAAAAACAGCCTAAAAGTGTTTTTCGTCTTGTTATTTTTCGTAAAATATTCAGTTTCACAAAGAAAAGACATCAGCCATCTTGATAGAAAATCGATATCTACCCAAACGTACGTAATCTCGAATCAATTCTCTTTCGAAGCCTCACAACGTTATCGAAGAAATACCAGCCGAAGAGTTCCACAGTTTCCTTAATCGTGAGAATTAATTTGATTCTTTCTTCTCTAACAGACCTCTCCCTTATATGTCGTTCCAAATATGTTTGAAGAAGTCTTAACAGACAAAGATACCTCACGTCAAATTCATGGCGATTTTCTGCGAGTCTTTTGTCGAGAGCCAGGAGGTAAAATAGACAGAGAAATTCAGAACGATGCAAACGTGACCGTCGAAGACTGGCGATGAGGATTCTGATAACCTTACGGCTTGTCACGTTCAGGCCGAGATCTGACATAGCTTGCTCTGTGAAGACATAGACTCCGTCAGCTAGCTGAATGCCATTTGAAAGATTATGCGACTGTTGGCAGAGTCGGAGTATAATCAAGGAATAAAGTGTCACATGGTCTTCTCTGCGCATGTCATACATACAGGTTTGGAAATCAGCTGGCAGGTGTTTGAGAAGAGAAATGATCAAGTCGATTTCCGCATCAACAAATTGGATGAGGTGCGATTGACAATAAGGGACGGCTTGAGGCATGTGTCTGCCGAATATTTTCATTGCTGTTAACTTTATACAAGCGTTGGGAAGTATGGACACATCGGTAAGAAAGCTTGCCATTTGAAAGCAGTAACTTGAATGATGAATGCTCGATTAATGTTAAAAAAAAGCAATTAACCCATTAAACATAATTTATATAGAATAACTTTGGCCGTATATACTCCCCGTGTGGGTGTTGTATTTTAATAATAGTGCGAAGTTTGTAATGAAGCCAATTTCGTAGTTCGAACGTAGCGGGTTCGATTTTCACAGACTTCTCTGCCGGTGTTTTTTCCTAGGGAAAATGACTCTCATAAATAATTTTCTTTTTTCAACCAGTTTGAAACCCTTGCTTCTTTGGCAGTATGTTTAATTTTTTTGTCTCTCAAAAATAATATATTATATGGAATATATATTCACTTAAAATACGGGATTCTTCAAATTTTATCCACTTTTTTGTGTCAAGACAGAAAGAGAAATTCACCTCGCAACACAGAATTTAGGTAATGATGGAATCGGTAAAAATGGCAAAAAATGGAAAAAAATAGGAAAAAATAAATTTATTGGCCTCCAAAATAATGAAATCTATTCTTTCAATATCATATGTAGCCTTTTATTCATTGATTTTTAATATTAGCAAAATAAAAGTAATTTTTTTCAATAACATATGTGGTTCTTTTTGATTGATTTTTAATATTAGCAAAAACAAAAAAAAAAGTTAATTTTTTTAACTCCATTTAAAATGATTTTATCCGTTTAAAATTTATGAAAAACAATTTAGACATGAGCAAAACGTTTTATATCAAGCTTCTAAAATAGAATTAAATAAATAGACACTTATCTTGTGACCAAGCCCCCGTAACACCTGATCAAATTATATAGGTAATGTTGTTTAATTTCAAGCCGTTTAAAAGTCTGTACTTCAATTGTGGCATTTTACCTATTTTTTTCACTTACGCCATTTTTAACGTTCCATTATTATATATGCAGTTATTACCGTTCACTTCCAATAGCAACCAGTTTGTGTCCATATACGTTGCGTGTTCGCCAGAATATTTTAATTACTTAGAAAACATAACATATTTTATATTCTCTAACACTCAGTAAAAACTTGCGTCTTAGTGGATTCATTGCATTGATTAGGATGAAATAATTAAAAATAAAAATGATAGATTATCAAGTTTAATAAAAACAATCCACACTCTTCGCTCTGTCTCTCTCTGACACTATATATATATATATATATATATATATATATATATATATATATATATATATATATATTTCGTTAAATCAAACCACATGTAAGCAAACCGTATAAGCGCGTGTTGGCGTGCATCGAAAGGCGAGCAAATACATCATCATCAATTTTATTCATGAGGTGAAAACAGTGCTGGATGTGGTTCCACAGGGGAAACGTATATATTAATAAATATAAAAATACCACCATTTAGGTGTACGACTTAAGTTTCGCTGCTTTGACAGCTCATCGGCGATAAAGTATACATTATATTTTTATATGTTTGTATTTTATATCTTGTGTTTTTACATCTGTGTATTTTTATAAAACGGTAGGTATTTTACATGTATATTTATTAATATATATATATATATATATATATATATATATATATATATATATATATATATATATATATATATATATATATATATATATATATATATATATATATATATATATATATATATATATATTTATATATATATATATATTATATATATATATATATTATATATATATATATAATATATATAACTAATAAATATATATATATATATAATAAATATATATATATATATATATATATATATATATATATTAATAAATATATATATATATATATTAATAAAATAATATATATATATATATATACATTAATAAATATATATATATATATTAATAAAAATATATATATATATACATAATATATATATATATATACATATATATATATATATATAATATAAATATATATATATATATACATTAATAATAATATATATATATATATATATTAATAAAATATATATATATATATACATTAATAAATATATATATATATACATAATATAATAAATATATATATATATATATATTAAATAATATATATATATATATATATAAATATATATATATATTAATAATATATATATATATACATTAATAAAATATATATATATATATATTAATAAATATATATATATATAATATTAATAAATATATATATACATTAATATATATATATATTATTAATATATATATATATAATATATATATATAATATATATATATATATATATAATTAATAAATATATATATATATATGTTTATTAATATATATATATATATATATATATATATATATATATATATATATATATATATATAACGTCAAAATATCTATCTGTCTGTCAATGGTTCCTGGAAGAATGTAGTGCATTGAAGTGTTTAGATGCAAGCAAGATTTCTAAAGTAACAGTCATATAATATTGAAACACTACTTAACCTATTATGACCGAAGTTAAGAAAATTTCATTCTTCTCATTAATAATATGGGTGATTGCTTGATAATGTCGGATATCCTTTTGGTGTAATGAAGAGATGGTTGCCATTGGAGATAATGTAATTCGAGTTCCAATTACTTTTAATATTTGAAGCATTTTGTAAAGCATCATGGTCAGGCTTATAGTATTTTCATAAATGCATAAATAAACTCGTAATGCGAAGACAATTTATTGTTGCTGTTTATTTGCATTTATAGTTGTTTTACGAATATATTGTGAGCTTTAGACAATGCTTTTCTTTCAATATATGGTTCTAAATCCATGTTTTTACTGTCCAAATACTTGATTCACCTCACTGTATGTGTCCAAGGTTAATATTTTGGATGGTTTAAACACAGTTTAAATACATTACTTCAAGGATAAAGGTTGATTCTATAAACTGACATTATTTTCAGAACAATGTAATTAGATAATTTTTTTTATTATTTTGTTACAGGGAAAAAATTGCAAAATAATATGTTAAAATAGGTACCTCCACGAGATCGCTAAAAAAAGAGCATAGCATGATGAAAAAGACGCCAAACTTGATGAAAACAAAATTGTATCGTCTAAATGTTTGTTATTATTAAGAGGAAAGGTCAAAGTATTTTTGGGGTATTCTTTTCCATTTTTTAATCGTTCCTAGCACGTCCGAAATTTTCGTTAAAAATCCAGTTTTTTTTGAGTCAGCAAAATTGACCATTTTTTTCCATTTTAAAAAAAAATGGAAATCTGACTTTGAAATTTTTTTAAATATCAATTATCATTTTTTCAAAACTTATTTTAAGAAAATCCGAAATTATAATGTTTATTTAAAATATTTTGAACCAAACTTAACTTAGCTTTTGTGCAAAAAAAAGATGTAATTTGAAAATAAAACAAAGCAGGTCATAAACTTTCGCGTCTCTTGACATGTGATGAATGATATATTTATGAATTCCATGAGGCTAATTTGTTCTACGGAAGGAGAAAAGTGAAATAATTTACATTTACGTGAACAAATTATTTACCCTGTTATTTTTAACGAAAACTTTCAGCGGTCTAATTTTTTTTTTTTTTTTTTGTACTTAGCTTTCACCTTTACGTTTATGATGCTTTATGGGAAATATATTGTAAAGAAATTAAAATAAAACTGTTAAGAGTGACATTAAATTTCATATTTCTTAAGAAAGGTATCTAATTATTTTATAGGTACCTTTCTTATGAAATTTTATCAGAATTGTACATAAAAAACAATAATTTTATGTACATTTATTATATTCTACTGTTATTTGTATTTGCATTCATTTTATTATTAATTTTGATATTTCATTTATGGAAAAATGTCGTAACTGAGATTAATATAAAAATAAGATCATATAAATTTCATAAGATGATACTGATACTTGTAGGTACCCTTCTCAGTTGAAATTGAAAAATCAAATTAACTTCTCCACACGTGTTTCGCAAAAGTAAAGGCCTTAACAGCGGAGAACAATGCTTAACTCAAATAACGCAACTTAATTATATTCTGGTTGGTCTTCCGTATTTTATAATTACAGCTCGATTATAAGCACAAAATTACATTTTTAATTACTGGGGCATCTTCTGATTAGTCAAAATGATACAATTTACAACGCGCTAAAAAAAAAGATCTATCTCATGAGGACACTTATGAAAGCCGATGCGGTTTTTTAACTAATTTCATAATATATTTTAACAACTTAAATGTAAAATCTATTATAATTAATGAAATAACAAATAATTGTATTAAAAATTCATTTTTCATCGAAAATATTTTTTTGCTTTCAGAAAATATTGTCCATATTCATAAAAACAACTAAAAGCAAATAAAAGCATTTGAAATTAAATAATATATTTATTTTATTGAGTTTTGTATGTTACAATTCAGAGCTGATTTTCAGGTACTGCGTATCCAATTAAAAACAAAAAAAACATGATTTGCATTCCTCAAAGCCCTGTGCTTTTAATTATTGTAATCACTAAAACCGATGCGATCGAATTTCTAGCGTTTTCATAAAATTAGTTATGGAGGGGTAATAAATATTTTTAAAAAAATATTTCTACCATGACTTACATAAAAAAAAAACATATTTTTAATAATTTCGATCATCTGTGAATAGTTTCTGAAAGTTTCATTAACATCCGATAATTATTTCTATTTTTGCACGATTTTTCAAATTAATGTGTGTCATACCAAAAAACGTGCTAAAAATTGTCTATGTTATTTACTAGTTCCGCTGATACAAATAGAAAAAAGTTTTTTTTAATGAAAATTTAGAATGTTCTAAAAAGAAGGAAAATTTTTGAAAAATAATTAAAAAAAACTTTGGTCTCTCCTCTTAATAATAACATAAGCATTTAGACAATAAAATTTAGTTTTCGGCAAGTTTGGCGTCTTTTCCATCAAGCTATGCTCTTTTTTTAGCGATTTCGTGGAGGTAGCTATGTTAAAATTGTTATATTAAATATTAATTTTCCAAAAGTATAAATCATATGAAATGAACCCTGGCATG